ATACTAAATGACCATTTTACCCTTATATTCCCACAAAACATTTTAACAATATTAACGCGAGAGGAGTTTGATAGGGAAAATATGTGAAGGATTGATGTCATTAAGCAATGTTTTTTGGCTTAACCCGTTAAGTTATTTTGTCTTGATTAAAGAAAAAGACAACCATGAACCATGTATAGCTTTCTAAATGAAGTGCTTAACCAATTAAGCTCGTTAAGCCAAAAAACAATGTGTTATGATTGGTGGTTGTTACAGATGACAGTAACTTGGACCAGTGGATACAACATTGATGAAGCCACTCCAGTTGTAGAGTGGGGTTGGAAGGGTCAAAGTCAACTTTCTTCTGCAGGAACATTGACCTTTACACGTGGCAGCATGTGTGGTATGCATTGCTACTTAGTTGACCATCTTACCTTAAAAATTGCAAATTTTACATTTGTTTTTTAACTACCATGCAGGTCCACCTGCACGTACGATTGGATGGCGTGCTCCTGGTTTTATCCACACTAGTTCCTTAAAGGAATTGTGGCCAAACACAATGTATGTGTGCCACCTTTACTTACATTCAGACACTTCATTCAGTCCAAAAAAGAAACAGACTTTGTACATAGACAACATTTGCTACATACAAACATCATCTACCCATACAACACTTACATGATGTTTTTTTTTCTCATTAAGTCCTGTATGGGTAAAGATGTCTGTCTGGATAAACTGTTGTACGCATAAGGTGACCGAATAAACTGTTTGAATAAGAGTAATAAAAAAATTCACCATAAAGTCATTCTGTCAAGATTAAGTAAAAAAGAAACAACCATATATAGTTGTCCAGATTAAATGCTTAACTTATTAAGCACTCAAAAGAAAACAAAAAATAAAAAATTGTGACTGGGTCAACTTTTTCAGATACGATTACAGAATGGGGCATATGCTTTTAAACGGATCGATTATTTGGAGTAAAACATATACATTCAAATCATCTCCATATCCAGGACAAGACTCATTACAACGTGTTATTATATTTGGAGACATGGGAAAGGTATTAGCACTTAAAAAATCATTCAATATGACAAATATCATAATCACAACTAAAGTACAAGTTTATGTTTTATTAGGCAGAACGTGATGGATCAAATGAGTATGCCACTTATCAGCCAGGATCACTTGTTACTACAGATGAATTAGTCAATGACCTTGACAACTATGATATAGTCTTCCATATAGGAGATTTGTCATATGCAAATGGATTTCTCTCACAATGGGATCAGTTCATAGCACAAATCGAACCCATTTCATCAATAAAGCCATACATGATTGCGAGGTTCGGATGGATTTCTATTTTCTAACTACTTTTTCTAATTTCCAAACAAATAATAAATTAACAAAATTATTTTTATTCCAGTGGGAACCATGAACGTGATTTTCCCAATTCTGGATCTTTCTATGACACACGTGATTCAGGTGGGGAATGTGGCGTGCCTGCCCAGACCATGTACTATGTTCCAGCAGATAACAGAGCTAAATTTTGGTAAAAATATTGTCTTAACCAATTAAGTTCTTAATTTCTAAAGATTGTTGTTGATATTATTACTATTTACAGGTACTCAACGGATTATGGGATGTTTCACTTTTGTATAGCGGATTCAGAGCATGATTGGAGAGAGGGTTCAGAACAGTATGCATGGTTGGAGAAATGTTTTGCATCAGTTGACAGGCAAAAACAGCCATGGCTGATTTTTGCTGCTCACCGTGTTCTTGGCTATTCTTCCAACAATTGGTTAGCCAATGCGGGTGCCTTTGAAGAGCCCATGGGACGTGCAAACTTGCAGAAGTTATGGCAGAAATACAAGGTGGACATTGCATTATATGGGCATGTCCATAATTATGAAAGAACTTGTCCTATTTACCAGGTAATAACTGTTGTTTGATAAAACTGAACCATTTAGTGTTGACTGATTCCAACCTCTTATTGGTGTAGAGAATGTAGAAAAATGTTACTAACTTATTTTTTTTGGTGTAGAATCAATGTGTAAACTTGGAAACGTCTCATTATTCTGGAACTGTGAGAGGGACAATCCATGTTGTTGTTGGTGGAGGAGGAGGGCATTTGTCGGATTTTACAGAGATTAATACGTATTGGAGTTTGTATAAAGATCGGGATTGGGGATTTGTGAAACTAACAGCGTTTAACCACTCTTCACTCCTATTTGAGTACAAGAAGAGTAGGGATGGTTTGGTTTATGATAACTTTACAATCTCAAGGGATTATAGAGATGTTTTGGCATGTGTGCATGATGGATGTGAAGCTACCACCTTGGCAATTTAGTAAATGGTATGTCAAAAATATAAGTTAACCTGGTCAAAAAATAGATGTAAATTTTTTAGATTTTGTAGCTCCTTAGAGGTCGTTTATGTGTCGATGTAACTTGCTTATGCACACCCTAGTAGTGTCTTGCTAGTTGCTTATAAACTTTTCTCTATTAAAAAAAAAGCCTATTTGACTTCACTTGGAAGTATTTGTTTCCTTGTACTCTTTGGTTAATTTAAGTACACACATGCACATCATACTTTTCATCGGTATTAGTTTTCTTTTAATAAACATGATACAACAACCCTAATCATTTTCGAGATACTTGGTGTCCTCATACACTTTCTAGTAGCTATACTACTTTCATGGAGAGGATGGTCACTTCATTCAAAATCATTGATATAACATGCAAGTTTTGTTAGGGTTTTTCTTACAATAAACACACAATAAAGATGTGAAGGAAAAGTTAGAGATCCCACATGATTTATATGGTTCACACGTTTAGGGGGTATGTGATGGTGTTTATTTATAAAGTATTTAGTTTATTGTGTTTTGGTAATTTGAGTGATTGGACAAAATAAGGTCTCGTTTGATAGTTGCTGACTGAGAAAGTGCTGTCTGGGAAATGTCTGTATGCCTAATAAATTTTGACCGGGTAAGAAACCATGTTGTTTGATTGTACATCTGACTGAATATGTTGACTGATGCAAAATGACCATTTTACCATGATGCTCTATACAGTGATAGATGAAGTTGCTGAATAATTATAAAAAAATACTATTGTCATACTAGTATTTGTTATAAAAATATTACCTCACATTCGTTCCAAACCAACATCTTAAAACATAAATATTCAACTAATTTAAATCATCACAAAAGTTATGAAGTTTTTTTGAAAGAGAAAAAAGTTTGTTTGAAGAACTCCCCCTCCATGTCAATGGTCTTCAAATAATTCATTAAGAACATTTGTCAATGACATAATCATCAATTTTGACTTTCGGTTCCGATACTGCCTTCGTTTTTGTTTTGGGTATTTTTCTCTACACACCTATCTAGTTTTAGCCATAGAATTCTTTAAAATCTAAAATTTTGACTAATTCTTATTGGGAACATTCATGACTCCGCTGCTTTTTTTTTTATCTAATTTTTTTTTCTTATGAGACTGTTTACCCACTTTTTCTAATAGTATAATTCTCTTTTGTTTTTTCTTATATCGCTGCTACTTTTATTTGTAATGTCCTTTTATAACTAGTTTTTATATATTAACTATGTTATACTTTATAACATATTTTAACTGTACATAGTTAATAATATATATATATATATATATATATATATATATATATATATATATATATATATATATATATCAAGGTTCTAAAAGTTCGTCATGACTCCAAGGCTTGTACCTGCCGCGAAACTTTACCAAAATGCCGCCTTAACTCATAATATGTGTAATAAAAATAAGTTTGAAATTAAATATTTAAATAACCAAAAAGTAATATAATAAATTACTTGGTAATAAAAATGTAATTGCTAAATAATATATTTAATAATGATTAAACACTAATAAAGTAAGAACAATTATTATTAAGTATAATGATTAGGGCTATGAAAAAAATAAAATGGTGTTTTTAGTAGGACCCTTTTGTTTCATCTTTTGGTTTTGTTCACTAAAGTTCCTTCACTTTCGGTTCATATGCATCAAGAACCAAATTTTGACTTTTCAATTCTATTTGGACTTGACATTTCACTAAATCCATAAATCACAACCATTTTGGAATCCATATGTCTTCGTTATCAACGACATCATCTCCTTTAATAAACATCTAAAATCAATCTTCCAATAATTTTTCAGATCAAACACAACACAATCAAATCTCCATGAACATCGATTGTTTTTCTAGTAAAAATCGTCAAAATTATCATCGATTTCATATAATCATTTTTCTTCAAATAGAGTTCCAGATCAAAACAGTTCCTCGATCATTAATCAGTGATTCTAATCACAATTGATACAAAGTAATCAATTTCTGAAAATAAAATGATATCAGTAACAAATTAAGATTGATACTTTTAAGGGATTAAAGTAGGATCAAGATGTTAGGCTCGAACGAATAGGAAGCAAGAATGAATCCTTATCAGATTGAGCACGAATACAACCAATTAATCGTTTCAATGAGAATCATGATTTTGCAGTGAATAATCAATCGAGATCAATCAGCAAGTTTTTTCTAGATGACCCAGTCAGCCATTGCTAACCGAGTAAGATGCAGGTGAGGAAGATATCAAACGTACTCAGCTGACCGAATCAGCCAAATAGGTCTGACTCGACTGGGTCAGCAACAAATCAAACAAGGCCTAACTTGTGCTTATTTTGGTTTGTTTATTTTGGTTTGTTACCACTAATAGTCAATTTTAAATCAGTTTTTTCATTTATTAATCATCAAAAAAACCAAAATTGTCAAATGTGATCGACTGATTTCAAGAAAATTAATTTCTATACACTGTGAATACCCGGTTTGTTTGTGTTTCTCACTATAAACTTTGCTTCAGATAAAGCCTCAAAAAGGACAAGCTTTGCTTTAAATCTTAGAGAGTCTAACTGTAATGATTCCTTCCTTCATGAATAATTTCAAGACATGGCACTAAAATCCGATTTGATCAAAAACAATTTAATGTTTTCATCATATTCCTGATAATTTATTTTGTATTAACCAGTTTCCATTGTACAAACAAGTGCAAGTGTAATTAATGGGTACAAAATACAAATTAACAATAATAATAATCTACAGTCATCTTAACTGAGAGCACCTCTTGAGCTGTGGCTCTCCTTTTTGGTTGTTAATATTTATATCAATGTCCATTTTATTTACATTCAACATGGAAGAGGAAGAGGAAGAAGATTCTTCTACTTTCTCCATCAAAAGCTTCAGTATTGGAACATACGACAGTGTTCTATATGACCCAACCATAATCAGCTTTTTCTGCCACCCAAATAAAAAAAAACCATTAAAATTATGCACACTTTTATATTTAAAAACAAAAGACAAAATTAAGCATCCCATTTTATGCACAAAATAGTATCAAGTGTCAAGAATTAAAGTAGATTGGTAACCTTGGCACGTGTAAGGGCCACATTGATCCTGTGCCAATCCCCAAGTAGTGAAGATTTGCAATTCTTTGGATTATTGCTTGACCTTACAAATGACACCAATATACAGTCTTTATCCCTTCCCTACATTATGGGAAATACAATTACAAATCATGAGACTTTCTTTTAAGTAGATGCCAAAAAGATTATTATATAATAATGTGTTTGTTACCTGGTATTTGTCAATGGTATGTATCTCCACTGATTTTGGAAGATACTGTTTAATGAGATTGGCCTGAGAATTGTAAGGAGTTATAACACCAATATCTTCCCCCTTGATGCCTTGACAAGTCAATTTCACAGTTATCTGCAAAAAAGACAGATGGTAATATTCATTGTGATTCACAAGATTTGTTTAATTAATTTTTTTTGTGACACATTTGCATTATATTTATACCTCTGTGATTATGTATGCTTCAAGTGGATTATTTACTGTCTTGAATTCTTTAACCTCTAAAGCAGGCAAAAGATCTGTGAACATGAACAAGTATTTGTAAGCAGCTGTGTAATGTAAGAATTAACAAAATGAAGAATGATGGGAATATGACTATCTATACAAACCTGTATTAATGAATATTACTTGTCTGACTGGATCCAGAACCTGAACATTAATAGTGAAGTTCAAAGTTATATGTTATTATTTGAAACAAAGATCTAAAATAAAAATAATGAAAGTGTAAGAATTGTACTTTCATTACTTTATATTTATTTTGTATTAAGACGTTGTACTTTGAAAACTCGACCCAATTATAATGCTGTAATAGGGTAGGATTTAGGAAGAAATAAAAGTGCATAGTTATTTTTTTATTACCTTCTTAAGCCATGAAGAAGAAGAAGTAGAAGTTGTATACTCAAGTTTTGCATTTGCTACATCAGGAGAACCACAACGTAACCTATCACCATATATCAAAGCATTGGATAGCTCCATAATGGGTGCACACATACGATACTGCAATTACAAATACATTTATCAAATAACATAAAAATTAAATATTATTTTAAGCTATAAAAAGAAGTTAATATAATATAACACCACACCTGGCTTTGCAAAGCTGAAATGGCTTGGGGATGTGCTTCTGAAAGTCTGCAAAAGAGACTTACACCCATTCCATTTTCCCTAGCTTCAGTACTCTGGAATATATAAATAAATAAATAACCCTTAGTTATATTATATATGAGTAAATTACATTTTGGTCCCTGATTATAACAGTTTTTTGCAATTTTGGTCCTTGTTCCAAGAAAATGACTGTATTTTGGGACCATAATTTCAAAAAATCAGCTATACACAAAATAGTCATTTAAGTTGGAACAGGAACCAAAAACATTGCAAAAACCTCCAATGAGGACCAAACCAACATTGCAATAGAAAAAAATTTGGGATCAAAATTGTAAAATCAGCTATACTTAGGGACCAAAAATGTAATTTACTCTAAAATACAAAATAAGTACCTGAACAAGTGGGGGTAATTGATAATGATCTCCCACAAGTACAAACATTGATGCAAACATCAAAGGACCCAATGAAACCTAGCAAAAAAATCCCATTAACCTTAAAGAAAATAAGAACAAGAAAATGTCAAAAAGAGTTATATAACAACATACTGGAAGTGTGATTTGTCCAGCTTCATCCATAATGCATACATCAAATTTCTTGTCACAAAGCAAAGGGCTGGTAATCCCTAAGCATGTAACTGCAACCACTTTGGCTTCATCCAATCTCACCTTAATATCTTTGGTGCTTTGCATATCAGCAGCTGTAAAAATGATCAATATAATTTCAATTTATATAATTCAACTGATAAACAAGTTAGGCTTTTATTTTTCTGAAATCTTGAAGTAAATCCAACCATTAATGCAATGGCCACGGATTTCCTCATGCACAGCTTCTTCTCTACCAATACGTATAAAATCAATGCCCTGAAGTAGTTGATGATTTAGGTTCAGTTTTTGAACAATTTTAAAATGTATAAATGTTGAAGAATGGTTGAGGATTTGAAAAGACCTGAGATTTTAATTTGATAAGTAAATTATCAACAGCTGAGTTTGTGTAAGAAGTGAGCAAAATGGTGGCACCTCTCATCAACAATGCCTTCACAGCATGAACCATGGTGGAAGTCTTCCCTGTGCCTGGCATTCCTAGGATAAGTGTATAATCCTTAGCAGTAAGTATCTGAAAAATTACAAAAAACAAAATTCATAACTAAATCAGGCAAAACAAACAAACAGCTTCTTTCATTCCAATGGAATCAACCATTCCATTCCATTCCATTCCCTCAAACCAAATACTACCTAACTAGTGATGGATTCCTAACCTTTAGTATTGCTTTGCGTTGATCATCATTTAAAGTCTTCTCTGACCAAATGTATGATACAGCAGGATCTTGACTGAATATACAACCACCATCATATCGAGGAGCCTACACAAAATATACATGAGAATACAAATACCTAAAAATACAATTTGAAGAATTTTTTCATACTCACATGAAGGTCCACAATCATGCTTCGAAGATGTGAACTCCTATCATCTTGTAGAAACATTTGAATGAGGTTGAACCTTAAGACAAACAATACAAGGTCAAAAACTATACACTACATGATTCATAAGATAACATAGACATTTCACATTTGCAAGTTGAAATTAATAATTAAGAACCTCATTGTTGCAAATGATGCTGTAAATTCATCTTTATCAATCCGCCAAACCTCTTGACAAAGATCATGGATGATTCTAGAAGGACTACTCCCTGGAAGCCTTAAGCGCTTTAAGAAAGAAGCCTATTTTGTGCATTTAAAAAAGTTTTTATTTTTTGTAAAAAGAAACTAAAAAGTATTGAAATAAACAAACATACAGTGACATTGGTGTGAGTGATGTCCATTATGACACCTCTTGCAACCACAAGACGTTCAGGATCAGTGCTCAAGATCTAAGAACAAGTAAAGATGAAGTTATTAATCTATTAGTTTGTAAAAGGAAAAAGCAATTGAGGTCTATAAATTACCACATAGTCCCCGGTTTTAAGAGAGCATTCCAAATCATTCCCTGAAGATGAAAGATTTGAATCATCCACATCATGCCTTACAAAGCGATAAACAAATCGGTTTCCTTGAGTGAAGTTTTTCAGTGGAATTTGATCTGAAGTGTCAAGAACAATGGAGGGTAGACATGTACTTGAATGTTGACTTTTCAAACTTTGTGAGCCCCACATATCTTTCTTCACAACCTGGAGATAACAAAAATATAAAAAACAGGAAAACATATTCAAACAAGAAAAAAATATATATAAAGTTAGGGACTGTTTGTATTTATATTTTATACCTCCAGTTCATTTGCTTCTAAATCAATCAACCTTTCCCATTTCTTAAGAAAGATACAATGAGCAGTTGTCAAATGGCTCACAAGTGAAGTGTAAACATCACCTAATCCACTTCCCTCAACACTTCCATTGTGTGCCTTCAAAATATAAACACAACTTGTTTAAAAAACTTCAAATTTGTAACTATTTTGAGCTAATGGTGAAGAAAATGCAAGGTGTATGTTAGCACACTGTACCTTATGGTAGACTGTACAAGCATTAAGGTGTCTGCAACTTTTGCACATGTTTGGGACCTGAAACATATAAACCATTTATTTACTTAAAAAGTAAAGCCTCACATAATTTTAAATTGATAGGATAATGGATAACTAAAAACCTGCAACATTGGTGGAAGCTGTTGCACCATTGATGCTTTCAAAATATCACTTGCAAGTTCATTACGCCTCATAATTAGCCCCACTAAATCGGATCTTTTAACAGCAATTCCCTTTACAAAAGTAAATAAATTGAGAAACATTTTGGGTACAAAATATAAGAAACATTTTATGTGATGTTTTTTTACCTGTGTTTGATCTGTGTGGAGATAGTATAGTAGACCATGATCTATATTCTTTTTGTACCTGAAAGGAAGTAAACAAGAAGAACATATAAGAAATTCACAGAGTTAACAATTACTAATTTTGTTATAATATAAATATAGAACACCTTTCAGACATGAGGAGAGTGTACAACATGACTTGAGCACTATGTTCCATGGCTGCCTGCATTATAACAAGGTAGAAATGAAGTGATACAACAGAAATGGTGTAAGATATTTTATAAAGAATCTTGATGAAAAATACCTGCCCATTTGTTGCTTTTCCAGTTTTGAATTCTAGAGGCATGATGAAATCACTGGTTTCATTAGTTTTGGAAGTAACTTTTACACGCATAGATGCATCTATGACTCCTTTCAATCCGTATTTTGGAGCCCATGCCATTTCCTCAATATCAACAACCTGAATACAGAAAAAATGCCTTTAAAGCACTTGTTAACCTAATCAATGCAGCTATGGTTAAGCAATTGAATCTCAACTTATGCATAAACAAATGTAGTTATTCACAAAACAAATGAGACTGCATGAGATACCTACCTCAGTTATTTTCATCTTCTTAAGTCCATCACTAGAGCCAAAATCAACATTAGGATTCATAGGGCCCTACACAAGTTTATAGCATCAATATATGAGTACAAAATGTATAAATTAAAGAAGGCTCTTATTTCATAACATGGATGACAAAATTAAAACTAAATCTTTTGACACCTGTGAATCGCGAAAGAGTAAGATCCAATTTAATAACTTTGGGATTGCCTCAATCATGGTCTTGTGAACATCACCTTCATATACTGTAAATCACCATTAAAAGAGAAGTTCAGTTCACATAGTTGACAATTCTGAATAAACTAATTCCAGTGAATTTTAATAGATATTCACCTCCACAAGCATACAAACTCTCGTAATTCTTCTGAAGCAAGATTCTTGCATACTCCTCAAGGAACACTTTGCTTGGAGTTTCTTTAACAAGTCCAGCCTATCACAAAAATGAAGTTCCATTCAGCTAAAAAACACAAATGCAATGAAAACAAAATGGGAATTTCAGTTTCAACTAATGGAGATTATAAGTTATAAAGACCTGAAATAGTTGATGAAGTAAGGTCCCAAGTAGTGCTGCAGCTGACTGTTCATTGCTCTTTAATCTCTCATCAAGAACAGTGCGACGTGGACAGCTGAAACTACCAGCTACCTGCCACCATGGCAATTATTGGTAGACAAGATATAATGAAGTAAAATATGATTAATAGATAAGATATAAAATATAAATCATATAATGAAAATGATAAAAATTACCCGAGTTCCAGACACTAATATATCAGGGTGAACAATTAAATAACCTTTGTCATGATTCACATCACATTTTCCCTCATCATTGAATTCACCAATAACATGTACAGTATCACCAGGTGCTATCACACTATAAAACCTGTAAAAATTATATATCAAATACTTATCCAAAACCCGAATTTTGAATCAGAAGTGGAGATATATTCAAAAATCAAAAAAAGACAACAAATTTCCTATTGTATGTTCAAAGAATGAAATTTATACCACTCATCTGACAAACAAACAGACCGTTCTTCTCCACATTGCTCATTCAGTAGCCTTAAAACCTGAGAATAACAACATATTAATATATTATAATAGATTTATAATACAATGGATTACAAATTTACAAAAAAAAATATTTTAGAATCAAACCTTTGAAGAGCACTGGGAGCCATTTGATCCAACAAACTGTTTCTCTGATACCTAAAATACAGAATGATGCAGCATAACAGATCACCAGTGGCTTCTATTATTGTAACGAAAGTAATAAGTAGATAAAACTGTGAAACATACCTCAAAAACAAGAAAATAGACATTAAAAGGCTCTATCTTGACCTTTTCTGTTGAACCCATTGTTGTTCTTTCCACATGTATTCGATTATTGTGTTTATTTTGATATGATTTTAATGAAGTTTTGGTGTCTGTACATACTTGATCTTCAACACATATTACATCTTCTACTTGATCTAGAAGTTCTAGCAATGCCTAAAGAAACAAACAGCACATGAGTACTATATTAATACCATATTACAATTGGTTTAAACAAGGTTGCATAATGATAAAAGTAGAACCTTTTTGTGTTGCTTTGAACCCAACTGAGTTGATTCTCCATTAGTATCAACACTATCAGCATTCTGTATTTCATTCATTAAAATTAGTCAAAGAATAAAATTGTAAAAAAAAAGAGATAGAGAATCATGAAAAAGAAAAGAGATAGATAACCTTATCGTGGCATGATGGTGGAGTCTTAAAAGGACTCCTAAAGTCCACATTATGCTTATCAATTGCTTTCTCATTACTACCATATGAAATCAAATCTTGCTCAAGGTTACGTTTTTCCAAATTTATCCCTTTTATGAACTTCAATGAATTTTCAGCCCCTTTCAAAGGAGGAGAAGAAAGCAATCTTTCTAGCTTGACAGCTGAGCAAGGAGATAACTGCATTTCAAACATTTAGAAATGTCAGAAAGTGGCAGAAATTTAGTACAAGTTAAGTGTCATCACCAAAGAAACATTTCACATGCCTTGTTATCAGAACTTTGTTTGAATTTCATGATGTTGAACCTTGAAGATTCTCCTAATACTTTTCGCACATCCACTAAATTCTTTGTTAATGCATGAAGTCGCTCATTTACTGGTGAAATCCTCCATGTGACCTCATCACCTCCATCATCCTGGCTTTGGTCTATCAACTGTCATAATATGGGACAATACAAAGAAAACACGTCACGTCTCAAGTTATATTCAAGAAAACATACCAAGTAAAAAAGTAAAAGAGGAATATATTTTTTCCCGCATAATCAATGTTACTGCTCATTCCCATCACAACCCCAAATGCATGTTTTTTTGTAAATTTTATCTATGTAGATGTCTACAAAAGATTCCAAAGCAACAAATCCAATTCTTAAGTTCCTTTATTTCCAAGAGTTGAATATATCTTAATTTTTTTAGCAGAAGAAATGCAATGAAACAGGTGTCAAGCTAAACGATGGGGGAATTGTACAATAAAAGGCTACACTCATAATGTTATTTGTTCATACAGGACCAAAAAGGATCCATATCTGAATGTGGTTAATAAACAATAAAAATTGTAAATGTCTGTAAAGAGGGTATTGCAATGCCCAAAAAAATTGGAAGTGAAAGACTTCTATGCAAATCTTGCAAAGGGTGTTGAGTTGTGGAGCAGAGTTACTAGAATCTTACCATCCCAGGGGAAAACTTTATTCGTTTGCGAGAAACAGATTTGCAGAACTCGGGTGAAACCTCCAACTGATTTCCACTAGCATCACTCCTAACAACCGATATAAGCTCCTCAATAGGTGTACTTTGAGAAGCATTTTTGTTACCTTCTTTATTGGCATCCCCCGAACCCAAATCATTCCTAGGGTTTATCAGGGAATCGGAACTACCAGCAGCAGTCGTACTGGCAACCGGTTCGTTTAGTCTTACTGGATCCGGCCCGACATCAACTGAGGATACTTTTGCAATGGCGGGTTGCTGTTTTTGAGGGTTTTGAGATAAAGAGTTTTGAGTGTGGCGTTCGAAGAAATGTTGGATGCCAAATTTGGAGGGTTTTTTCAGAGGATTGGTGTTGAATTTGATTTGATTTCTTCGACCCTCCGGTGGAGGAGGCGGCTTTCTTCCTCGGCGGCATTTCTTGAAGAACTCGTGTACCGAGAGAGAAAATTAGAGTGCGATTGTGATTGATGAATAAAAATGGAGTTCCCGCCAGAAATAAAAGAAAAGGAATTTTAATTGCTCGTTTTGGGAGGGAAGGGAAGGTGTATGATTTGTCGTAATTGCCCCTCTAAGTCCATAAATAATACTATGTTGGTAAAAAAAAGAAGTAACGACTATTCCAGAAAAACAATTCGAACAATGTCACAATATAATTATTAATTAATGTTACAGATTTAATAAAAAATGTGATTTAACTGAAAAAACTAATCAGTTTTTTCAATACTTTTATGTGAGTATTCATTTTTTGACATCTATGAAATAAAACTTAAAACTAGGTTTAATAAATGAATCAGTTTGTACTTTTTAAGTTTCTCTATATTTTTCTAAGAAAATTGGCAATCCTACAAACACAACAAAAAGTTACGAAATTATATAAAAATAATAATAGAAAGGTCATAAGTTCATAGCTACTCTGCTAGAAACTAGCAACCTTATTCTCTTGCAAATAAATATGGCATTTGACAAATAAAAACACAAAGAAAAAATTAACTCAGTGGGGTATGAGAACCAAAAATAGTGATAGTACGAAAAACAAACTGAGAGCGATTGGCAAACGGTAAAATTGGAGTGGCGTACGGCGGTCAAGATGTGATGGTGTGAGCGGTGGATCTAGAATATTTGGCAAGAGACCGAGAGGTAATGGCAAGACTTGTGATAGAAAAGAAAGTTGTGTCAAAACGGTTCCCAGTTGGTTTGGAGAGAGTTTTGAGTTTTCAGTCTCGATTTTTAAAAGATTTACATATTTACGTTTTTTTAGATGTGAAGTTAGTGATAGGATTTAGATTTTGGACTTTTTAAGTTTCCAAGGTTTTTTTCAAAATTTAAATATTTTGGATTAGTTTTTCAATCTCCCTCCAATGTTTTTAGAAGTTTTATGTGCTAAATATGTTCCAGTACGGCATGCAAACATTAATTTAAATGTATGCAAGTATTAATATTTTATTCTTTTAGAGAAGTAGTGACACTTGCAAATAAAGTTGAAGGGTATGCAATTGCATACCCTAATATAAATACATATCCGCCCATGGTTGGAACTCATATGAAACATTGAATATATCAAAGTTTTAAACAACCTGACGCGTGATAACAATGTCAAAAATCAAACTTTAAATTATAATGCGAAACCACGACAAAAAAAAATTTCAACCTCGTTAAATAATTTGAGAGTGGCTATTTCAGGGTTACATAACCATGGATTGCCTTATTATAGTTTTTTTTATTCGTTGGGTATGCCGGCTAAAAGAGTTGCTTCTCGCCTAGCTTGGAAGAGTATAAGCAATGTAATACTTGTAGTGAAAGATATTATCAGCAGAGGGTATAATATGTTTTTAAGATTATCATGTGAAATAAAGCATGGAGATGCTTTATTTCGTGTATTGCTGTTTAGCGGAGTATTATTGAAGAAAGTTGTAGTTCTCACAGAGACGATTATGTGGATATGAAGTTTGTCGAAAACAGAGTTTGGATGAATAAGTTATGATTGTTTGAAGTTAAGATGAAAGTATATTGATATTTCGAGAAAGTCAACGAACGTCAAAGTCAAATGGTCAACTCTTGGGTCACCGTAGCGTGGTGACAGACTCATCACGGCGTGTGTAACATCCTGTCTCGAGAAGTTTTTTATTTCAGAATTATGGACAATAAATGGATCAAGTAAAGACATTGGGCTTCAAGGGAATAAAGTTTAGACCCTATTACATGTTGATAATATTAATGATGTGATGAAAGCCCTTGATTTGTGTTTTGGAGTCAAGGGGTAAAATAGGAAAAATGATGTTTCAGACTACTTTCATGAATTAAGGATTTTAGTTCGGTAGGTTTTAAGTAAAAAGCAATTAGATAGGATTGTGGGGATCTTCAATACTTTTATGTGCATATAAAGAATGTCAAAAACGGAGTTGAAATGAATAAGTTGTGGCTGTTTGAATTTGAAGTGGAAATTGAAAACTTTTGGGTTACGTTCGGCGTAACTAAAAGTTACGCTGGACGTAACATGTTTTAATGAATTACGTTGGGCGTAATTTAAGTTACGTAGGGTGTAATCTAGGCAGATCGAAACCCTAAATCTTTGGTTTTGAGCCCTATTTAAGGGCTCTAACTTATGGGAAACCCTCTCATTACCAGCCTCCATCACCTTAGATCATTTCTTGAGAAACCCTAGCCTCCTATCTCTTGTTTTTGAGCCTTGGCATCATTTATGAGCTTATTTCTCCATTGGAAGGTTGAATATTGAAAAGCAAGGTAGTGATAAATAGTATAGAAGAAGAGTTCAATTATAGATCCAACAAGATTACATCATTCTTGAACCATTGTGATTAAAAAGCTTATAACTTGCTTATTGGTTTCATAGATCTAGTTATTTGTCATATTTGACACTTTTTGGTCATTTTAGTGTATAAAGTTTAGATCTTGAAAGTTTGTGACCTTGTTATAGAAAAGTTTGAAACTTTATCTATCTGAACATCATATTGATTCAGATATGAATGTTGGAGACTTGAATTTAATGGATTAAGTTGAGAAATATGCATTTTTGGTCCCTTCGAGACTTAAAGACTAAATTTTGGTTGTTTGGACCATCCTAATGGATAAAGTTGGAAACTTTATCCATTATGGAGCTATTAGGAACCAGATCTGAGCATTGAGTGAAAAGTCTTAATGAAATAAGTGCTTAATGTGGGTATTGGAGCCTGAGGCAGTACGCCATACATAATTTAGGCTACACACCGCGTAACCTAATGTGGGTATTGGTCTAGTATGGTTTACGGATTTTTATGAGATTCAGGGCGTGTTCGGCAAAATTAGCTGGTAGTGGAAAGCTTGTAGTGGGTAGTTTGTAGTTTGTAGCGTTTTGTTAAACGCTACATAAAGTAGCATTTGGATTTGAAGCGTTTTGTTTAAACTAAATGCTAGAAGCTTGCAGCGTCAAACAAGGTTTTCTGTTCAAAACGGAGTGTTTTGTTAAATGCTAGAAGCTCTCAAACACTCTCAAACGCTTTGTGGTGAACACGCCCTTAGTCTAAATCTTGTAAGATTCGTAAAAACCGTCATTTTCAATATATATATATATATATATATATATATACATATGCTTAGGTTATTGTGTTTTTTTACTAACTATTGTGTGTCAGAATGCACAGATCTGGACCACCGGATGGAATATAATCAATGGTCATGATCTGAGAGTCTATGATATTACAGTAAGGTAGCATGTACCATATAATCACAGATTTTTCAGCATAAAAGTATTTTGGACAATTAACTATATTTAAAAAAGGAAATTTTTGGAAATTTAGGGATAATTAATTCTCCTGATTTTAAAAATATGAATTTTTTAAAGTAAGTCAATATTAATTGATTTAATTCTAATGTATTTTTATAATAACCGAATTTATTCTGTCAAAATGACATTTTGTTAGAATAATATATTCTATGAGAATGTCAGAATACATATTCTGATTGATTGCTAGAATACATATTCCTATAGAATGAATATCAGTTCATACCATTCTTCAAACGAAATAACAACATTTATTGATTGAATGAACTTTCTAATAATAACAAATATTTGATACACGTTAAATTTTTGTCATCACATTCTTATAAAAAAAATCTTAATATACTATTATAGCATAATGAAACACTCACTAATAACAAAACAAACATAATTTGTAGATTATTCTACCTGAATAATCTACCAGAATATATTGTAACATATAGTCTTATCGTTATATTATAAATTATTCTGTCAGTGCTTTCTTTTGTGAAGATCATTGACCATTGTTCATCTTCATCTCACATGTCATCATCCAACCTTCAGACACTTTGATCATCATATTCCTTTCACGCATTCTATGAGAATAAACTTCCATAAAATTGAGTATTCTATGAGAATAACTGCCATGAAATCGAACATGTATGAGTAACATTCTATACATTCACAGTGAGCGTTCTAAATTCAATGCATTCTAAAAGAATAAAACTATACATTCTGAAAGAATATTGTTGTTAAGAAACACTTTAAACATTCTGGCAGAATACATTCTGCTAGAATACTCTCGTTCTCTATGTTTTCTTCATTTTACACATCATTAGCAGTCTCTTCAAAACCTAAATCCACAAAGAAAACATAATTAACTTTCAAATATTAAAAAATTAAGTGTTCTCTAAAGATAATAAAAACTATAAATTACGATAAAATGTAGTAGAGAAAAAAAGGTCAAAAGTCAAAAATCGATGACAGACTAAGTTATATAGTACATGAAAAAACATTAAACAATAAAGATCAAACAATCGTCTTATTTAACCTCATAATATCTTATATAATGGACATTATAATATGATTATTCAAATAAGAATTTACCTGATGCTTCAAAATAATCTCCATATAATTGTTTGACCACTTATTGGATTACACAATAACCCAAGCATGTAAGATTGGATGGTAATCCAAGCTATAATGGTCCAACTATAAAGTAATCACATGTGAGATTAAGCTAGTAATCAAATTATACGAACACTCCAACTTCACACAATCAAATAAAAAAATTGGAATCTCAATTTAGTTCACAACGAAAAACAACAATTGAATAATTGGAATAAAAAATTAATCTAATTAAGAAACATACCTGATACATATCAATCGACCACCAATGATCTTGTGAGAAACTCGAATTATTAAAAAACATAAATGGTGGTATGGACTTGTATCGATGGATGGCGAAGGCTCAGGTTTGAGTTTAACCCAAAATCTTGATTATTGACAGTTAGGGATTTAAACTCGAGATGGAGATAAAAGGACTAACATATCGATTCTACGCTAATCCAAACCTAACAGATCCACTGAGGATGATATGGAAAATCCTGAACACGTTGGATACCGCCGCCGACCACCCAAAATAAAAAATCCTCATTTATCTCTTAACTGTGAAATTAATCACAACACGGGATTTATGAGCACACCTACAACTATTCGGTACATACATAGTTTCTTGAATCCCTTTGATTACTTGAAGAAAAAAGAATTTGGTGGGGGTGTGTGTGCGTCTGTGGTGATCGGCTATGGATATGATGGTGGGGGTGGTCGGCAGCCAATATGATGGTGGTTGTGTACGATGGTTTTTCGAGAAAGAGGGGGAATGGTTGGTGATGTTATACGGTTGTGAAACTGTGAAGCCGACTCCTTTGATTTCTTTTTCTTTTGTAGGTGAAGAACAACTATCGTGAGATAAAAGAGAGAGATTAGGTCAAACCTAATTATTTTGTTTCCTTAATTGAAAGAATTTAATTACATGATCTCATTAATTGAATGTGTCAAAAACCCAAAAATACCCTTATTTGTTTAATAAGTTATTTAATTTTTTGCTAGTTTGTGATTGGTTCATTCATGCACACAATAATTGTTAGAAACATTTGAACCTCTCCCTCCCTCTACAATATATATATATATATATATATATATATATATAATATATATATATATATATATATATATATATTGTAGATTTCGTCTCTCCGAAAAAATGCAAACCAAAATTTTTTCTAAAAGGATTCAAACGTTAATATTAGACTTTATGATGAAAGCGATAATGAAAATTCATAGTTTTAAATGCTTTGATACCAAAATTTACAAAGAAATATAAAAAATAATAAAATTAAAATTAGGATGGGTAGGATGGTTATACCTGAATGGTATGTTGGAATGATCTTGATTGTGACATCCCCTAATTTCTCGGCCAGAAAAGACCGATATAATTTATGCTTTTTAAAATAAAATCAGAGAATTATTTTTAAAAGATGTTGCGGAATTGGTCCCCAATACAAAATATAATAAAAGTTTGTCAAAACTTTTCTTTAAGAAATATATAATTTCATTTGTCAAAACTTTTCTTTAAGAAATATGGGATGTCATGTTCCGATACAGATCAAAAGCATAAACAATACATTATAAACCTTTCAACAGTTATTTATAACTACTGGCCTATAATCCAAAAATCTCTCATCGTCCTCCGACTATGCTCGGGGTCCACTACCTGTAACATA